TTAATAATATCTGACAGTAGCGACGATGACAAACAGCCTGTTTTATATGTGATTCATCAGATGAAGAGGGTGAAGGGACAGAAGAAGATAACTGTCTGGGCTGTGGAGAGAACTATTTCTAAACACATCTTATTGAAGACTACTGACTTCGCTGTATCATTTTCCAACTTTGGGTGCACTGAATTTGATGACGTGTTAAAAATGTGGACAAAAGAAAAAAAAGGAACTAAAACTTTCCCACACGCTCCGGGAGAGATGACCAATTTTGATTTATAAATTTTATTTTTGTTAAAAGAAAGTATATTTTTGTTATTTATCTTAAAGTAGAACATTCTAAATTTAATTAAAAACAACAATTACGATTTAAATACATGTAGCTTTATTTTAACTGGACTTTGAAAAAACTATAGCCAACTACCTCGGACTTATCCTAATAACAACTGACAACAAACTAAAATTCAGACTTTCTCGGTAGTATATTTTTGTTATTTATCATCTTAAACTAGAACATTCTAAATTTAATTAAAAACAACAATTACGATTTAAATAAAGTCTGTTTTTTCTTTGAATGGAAATTACCAAGTCAAAATTTTGGTAAAAAAATTGGTAGCAGGTTGTCTCCATAGCCACAAATTTTGTTTGCTCTTTGTTTTTGTCCCTAGAAATTTTGTTAAAAAATTATGGTTATGTTTTCAAATTGAGATGTTGTCAAAATTTTTACTTTTATGAATCTTGTGTGCCGGTTTGCTCTTTGAAAGCGCTATAATTGAATACCTAAGGACAGACATCACTACCTAAGGTCTAAAGACAGAATTTAGAGCTAATAATTTTGATAGAAACACACCGCAAGTAAGTACAATGTTGTGGACAAAAGTGAGGTTCTTGCTACAAAAACATTAATGAAAAAAGATGTATATACAGAAAAAAGTTATTTAGCAAAAGATACAAGTAGGTATTATGATGATTGGCAATAAATTTTGTGTATTTTATTGAAATGAGCTCAAAGTTGATGAATTTTATAAATTCTTATTTAGCTTTAGTTTCAAAATTGTTATTGTTTCAACTCGTTTCTAAAAAACGATGCACAAGACACTAATTTAATTGCATTCTTTCCAAGATTCTTTCTCATTCATGTTTATTTTGAATTCTTGTCAATTTCTTGCTAAAAATTAAGAATGTTTAGCAAACCTGAATTACAAATTGCGTCTACATTTTAACGGTCCTTTTTTCTAACTTCCTGTTTGCGAACTATTCGTTTCTAAATTTCTAAAAACTGTTTGCGATACCGAATTTGTTCCTTTTTTGGTGTTTCGTTTCTAAATTTTTTTAGACGATTTTTGGTGTTGACGTTTAATGACATTGTTTTCAAATTAATTCAAAAAACCGGAACTGCCAACTTCCTTTATTAAAATTACCATGAATGAATTACTAGTGGTGCCAACGTTAAGACTGTTTGGCATTTCCATTAAAAAAAAACAGACTTTACATGTAGATTTATTTTAACTGGACTTTGAAAAAACTATAGCCCACTACCCCAGACTTATCCTAATAACAACTGACAACAAACTAAAACTCAGACTTTCTCGGTAGCTTAATAACATTATTCTACCAGCTATACCTACCTTCTTTGGTATTATACTATTTTAAAAAATAATTTGACATATTATTAAACATAACAATTTAGGTAAGACATACGTTCATAAAAATTTTACAGCATTCTGTACCACGTTTTTATTCAAATACATAATATTATGTAATTACGCCATTAAAAATTGTTGTTTTCTGTGCAGCTTCGTTTGTTATCCCCTATTATCAGTCGATTACGTCTTTTGTAAGTAGTGCCTCCGCCCCGGAAGAGACCAGAGTCAAGTTCAACCGTAAAAATTAAATCATAATCGAAATATAAATCGTGCAGCGGACCGACAATTAGAGAACGCGCATCGAAGGGTGGCTTTCGTACATAATACTCCAACAAAAAAATCGAAAGCATTCACCACAAATATATTTGTACAATATGAGATCGGTTTCAACGTATGGGATAACGAGATACTTGTATAGGTTTTGGGATGCGGCCTATTCACAATCGAAACGATTCCTCCGTTTTACAATTCAAGAGTCCTTCAACATTCGTGCAACGATCTGGTCAGCGGCACAGTTTAAATATTCCTTCTAGTGGAGAAAATTCGATAAAAGTTGCTTTTTTGTGTGACGCTTCCTGAAAGCAGTCTTAGTCAAAACACAAACAGAGAAGAGTAAATATTTTAATAAGACCAGAAAAAACAAAATCGTCACCCTGTTTCTCCTTCTAGATCGATCAAATCGTCAAACTATTAGAATTTAAATCGCTCTATGCAAATTAATTAATTTGAATATTAACTGAAATTCCCTAAACAATAATATCATTCGGGGGAGATTGGTGTCGACGGATTAAAACTGATAAATAACGCGTCGATGATGCAAATCAGATTTATTATTTAGAAGTTTAAGACCGAATTTTCCAATTTAAGAAGTTAATTATGAAAAAAATCTGGAGAGGACTGTGAAGGACTGTCTACAAAGAGAATACTAATAGTATTTCAATTAACTTTTCTCGGGCTCTGAAGAAGTTGTGAAAGAGTGTCTCGCGTGCGCCTGACAACCGTGGCCAAGATATCATTTCCAATTTTATACCCGTGATTCAATAAAGTCTCAACACCATCGGCAACCCTTATATAAATAGCTCCCTAGCAACCAGCGGCGTGCCATCTTACTAAAACGCAAATTTGATATTCCTCCGAAAAAAACTAGGAGTATTTTTATGTTTAAAAAAAATTGTCTACTACAATTATTATTACTATAGTTGTAACATGTATCAAATTTCTATCATCAAAAAAAGATAAGAAAAACAAAAAAATATAAAAAAAACATTTTCTCATACCACATACTGGTATTAATAATAAACATTGATAAAATCACTCATAGCAAATAGGAAGGTAATTTTAAATGACAAAACACAACAAGAAAAATTTTGCTAAAGTGTGGCGGTCGAAGAAATTCTTTCTAACTCCATTTCTGAGTTTCTTCCATCTACAGCCTGCCAATTTGTTAATTAATAATCCATCTCTTGTCATCTGTTGCAACAAAGATTAAACACACGTTAATAGCCACGTCGGGCACTCGAGACCGCAGAAGAAGCCTGTTAGTAGTGAAAAAACGTAATAAAAATAACAGGTGGTAACTGCGTGACAATATTTAGTTACTTGAACGGTCGCCTAATGGCTTGGTCAACAATAGGTGTTGCCCCTTTTACTAGCCGTCAAAAAATCGGCTTTTTTATTTTTTCAACAATTTGTTTAATTTTGTAACCGTTTCTAAAACGTGACAGATGGTTCGACTACAATTTAAATATATTCAGGTGAGATCTACACGCACATGTACACACGAACCAATTATTTTATTTGTGCGATCTTTCCATACCTATCCTCTGCACTTGAAAACCGCTTTGAATCTGTGACATGGGCGAATTACAAGGCGGGCTTATAACGTACTAAACTAACCTAAATTTGACAATTGTCGACACAAATGAATACATCAGACACTTTTCTGGGCTCTCACTCCAGCACCAACCAGCTGAAAGGAGTAAACACCACCAAAGAGAAGATTTTGATGGGTCTCCTAATTGCCAACGTGCTCCTTCTCGTCTTTTTGTTATTTCTAATGAAGTTGATTTCTCACAATTGTTAATTCGCTTTTAATAAATACGTTTCTGCTATTAGACGCTTGCCCAATTATTTTTTTCATCAACACTCAAATGTCGATTGCTCTCGAACTGCCCTTCAACATGTAACACCGTAGGTCACGAACGCGATACAATTACTTGCCGATGTAATTAATTTTGGAGGATCCAAACATATGTCACAATGCTGGTTACAAATACAGTTACGTCAAAGTGAAGGGTGCTCTTTGTAAATGTTATTCAGTTTTAAGTGTGGTCGCAGATCAGGGCGAGTGAGAGGGTCGCCACAATGTCTGTCACTGGCAGAAATCTGATCCCAATGATATCAGATCTGATACTTAAGTTAATAAAATCCGTAAAGAAAGGGTGTATGGACTGGGGGTGCATCCATCTTATTATTAATAATCTTATTTATTAAAACTGAAAATATTTTAGTTTGACAAAAATGCTCGAACGGGTCAATTTTCTTTTTAAAAAATACAAAATTCTCAACTTGATTTAAAATTGTATGCTTGTTTTTTGTTAATATTATTTCAGTTTTTTTTCAAAACTTTATGTAATATTTTATTTTTTAGTGTTGTCATTTTGACAATTAAAAGATTTGTCGAGTTGGCTAAAAAAATTAGACGTTTCCATTTTTAAAAAAATGTCGACGATGTCATTACTCTAAAACCAAAAAGTGTAAAATTTTAAATCAAGTTGAAAATTGTGTATTTTTAAAAAACAAAATTCACCTGTTGGAGCATTTTTGCCAAAACAAAATATTTTCAGTTTTAATAAGATTATTCCATAATTTTGCCGCTCACTGTATATGTAGTTTTTTAATTATTACTTTAAAACTGTACATACAAAAAACATTTTGTTCTGATAAATGCATAATATAACTTTTGATTTTATTCTATGATAGTTGGCAAACTTTGATAGATGCATTTAGAACCTGATAATGAAAGAATTAAGTCAGTTTGCAAAAAGTTTGTTAATTTTTTAGTTCGAGCAAAATTGGATTGAAAATAGCTCAAATTGCTTTATTTTGGAAGAAAACTCTTATTGAAGTCAGTGTTTGGTTGAAATAACTTCAAATTGAGCCAAATCGATTGAATGTTTAAAGATAAAATTAAACACTATTGTGTTATAGAACACGTTTTCGAATAACAAATGTTAACGTGACAGAGGTATAATAGGATTAAGTATGAATAAAAAGCGTTTTTCATCTATATTAACATTTTATTTTATTTATATAATTTCGTATACAATCCAGTTTTAATTAAATACAATCAACTACTCTAAACAATTTAATTAATAATATACAGCATGTACGATGAATGTGTCTAAAGCTATTCACAATTATTTACAAGTTGAACAACATATTTGATAGAATGAAGCTAAAGTATTAGTAAAAAATTATTTACAACGTGATCACTGGACCCAGTGGCGATCGTCACAAATGAAACCACAATTTAATACAGACAATAAAACCAAACACACGCCACTGTTTACAATATAATTTATATGATCTGGTAGCTACAGGCTAACAATAGAGACCTAATAACTGGCTTCATGTATTCAATAGGGTTAGGGGTCGCTGAATACCGAGTAGAGGGATGGAACTTGATTCATATGTATTTTATAATTAAATTCTGATGTGATTGTTCGTGCGGAAACTCGAACTGGTCTTCATTACTCGCACAGAATAATCCACTATACAGGGCGTGCAGGTAAACACTTAATATCACGGTTATTCCGAGTACGACGTCTTGTCCGAGCTCGTGTTAGAACCCGGAGAAGACGCCGAGGTTTTATCGTTGCTATAAATATCATGAACTGACCCTACCATGGATAGATAATCAGGAGGGGGTCTTATCACCGTTGGGAGATACCCCGTTCCGGCATAAGGAGCCGACAAAAATCTTCTCGAAGGACTGAAACGGTGGAAGTTTGTTGGAGGACCCAAAGGACTGAAAGCCGATGGCGGTGTGGCATCTTCGTGGTTTCCACTCACCATCATTTCCATGGCTTGCACTACGTCGCCCTTGCACCTTTGTAGAAGAGCCTCAACGTCCGATCTTCTTTTCCCCGGAAACACTCTCATGAGCACGTCGATGGGTGAACGCTGAGTGGAGTACTGCGGCTGGAAAGGAGGAAACGTGGAAACGAATTGCTGGTAAGGAATGAAGTTTTGTGTCGGTTGAGGGGGAGTTTCCGGACTGGATGGTTTCTTAAGGGAGAGATTCTCAGGTGCTTCACTTTGGGTGTCCTCCTCAACGTCCAAATCCGGATCTGGACTTGTTTGTGGTTCGGGAGAGGGAGTAGGGGCTGAGGGGGCCGGCGCAGATACCGGACTCGACTGACGACTCTTTTTCAAATCTTCAGGTTCAGAGTCCGATCCTTCCAAGGAGCAGTCCTCGACGTTAATTCTAGGTCGTTTCGAAGCTGGAAATGAGGAAAATTTCGAATCAGTGCTGTGTCGAAGGCTAACAAGGCTTGGTTTGATATCGAACAGTTAACATGTCGGCCGCAGAAGACCATATATATTCTAACAATTGTGTAAGACAATGCCGCCAACGTGTTGTGTTAACGTTCGAACAATAGCAAGCGCGTTGGCAAGGGTAGCTGCCAGATTTATGAAGCTTACTAACACCTAGTACAGATTTTCAGATACAATTCTGTGCGAATTTCAGCAGGAGGTATCATAAAATGATATTCAATAACGAACGATCGTAAAGTTCTAAGTTAAAGCCATTGTTCGAATTTACGAGATGCTGCCTTTTAATCGTTCATTAAAAAGTTTCCGACGCTAAACGGATTGTAACTGACGGCTAAGATTTACTGCCAGATACGAGGAAATGGAATTTTACACGTTTTTTTTAATTTTTTTATTTTTACAGTGTTGTAAGTTAAAAAACAACAACATGCTAGTCTAAATTTACTTTGCATAATTTTATTCAGTCTCAGTTTTCTAAAATTTGTAGTTTACATTTTTAATTTTTATTTCAATTTAAAGCAATAACAAACACACAGAAACATATTTTAACTTAAATATAGCTCTATGTTTAGTTTAAAGAAACACAGATCAATCCATTGCTGTAATTCAACTTCTAATTAAGTCGCGGATTTGCAATTTAAGAGCAAAGAAATAAAAAAATGCTTTATCTAAATACACTGCAATTCAGATAAGATAATGAGCCTGACGATCTGACGATGCAACCCAAAAAACAAATTTCATTTACACCTTTGATCCAATTTAAATTAGGATTTGCAAGTTGAATCCAAGTTATCATCTTATGTCACTTTGACATCAGCGCAGAGAGCGACCATTAGTGCTATTCAGTTCCCGCGGAATGACAGAAAAATTAGAGAAGTCTTTTCGGTGTAAACCCAATACAAAATGTACCAGGTGAATAAAAAGTATGGAACCAAACGTTTTTTGCTTAAAGTATTTATTTTTTGAAAAAACTAATTGATGAGTGATAAACTACTATGAAAATGTGATGATTTAAAAAGAATAAAATTTTTCGAAATTTCCTTTTGTTTTTGAGTTATACAAAAAAAAAAAAATTTAAATGGCAACCCACTATAAAATCATTTTTCTCATAAAAGCTATACTCTAAGGATTACAACTAATTGCTTTATATTTCATTTTTTCAAAAAAAAAAAAAAATTCACATAAATTGCAATTTTGACAAAAAAAAATCGKATAACTCAAAAACAAAACAAAACTTCGTTTTGAAAATACGATCACATTTTTTATATTACTTTAATTTATATTAATTATTATTTTCTGGAAGCAACATTAAAGGTTGGCAAACAGTTTCTTTTAAAAATCATAAATTGCTTGTCAACGCACTGTCAGAGGAACATAAGATAACTTGGATTGCAAATGCAAATCTGAATTAGAATTAGATCAAGACGTAAATGAAATTTGTTTTTTGTGTTGCATCGTCAGATCGTCAGGCTCATTATCTTATCTGAATTGCCCTGTAGAGATAATGAGCAGACAAACAGAAAAATTACGGGCAAATATATAAAATTAAGAAATCAAATAAGTATACCTACCAAAAATTTTCCTGAAAATCATAATTTAAAATAATGAACAGATCAGAAATTTTTGCTTCGTCTCATGTTCTTAACACTTTTTGAAAACGCTATACGTACGATTGAAGGATATATTCCGGAACACCATACCTCTATATTCTACGGTTTCAGGCCTACAGACGGTCAATAATGCTTTGGTGACGAAAACATTTCGCTTGCACTGATGGCGTGTTTATAAGAAGAAGCTGTTTAAACCTAAAACTTAAAGTATAAGGTATGGCGTCGCGGGTTTCTTTAAAGCAAATTTAATTCTTTACAACTTTGTCTTTTACACTTTTTTTCTGCCTGTTAATCTTTTGTGTAGCGTTTTCAAGAAAAGTCAAAAACATGAGGCGAAGCAAAAATTTTTGTTTTCATTTTTTTTAGTTATTGTTTTCAGCAAAATTTTTGCTATAACATTAATTTCTACTGTAAAGTATTTAATATCTTATCTGCTTGTAATTTTTCTGTTTGTATAAAACAATTTCGGTACTCTTAAATTGTACCTAGACACGCTACTGAGACATCACAGCAACGCATTGATCTGTGCATTTTTAACCTGAACATAGGGCTATATTCATAGTTAAAAAATGTCTTTGTGTATAAAATACTCGTATAAAGTACGTAAATAAATTAAATATTTTCTTTTGTTATCACTACCGTAGGACAAAACCAACTGTCTTAAGTAATTAGAATCGTTTGTAATGAAAACATATATACATATTATGTCTAAAACTTATTCCTACGTTTTACAGCAAAATGCCATTTGTCAGCACAGAGATTAAATTTAAATCAGTCAACTCTTACGAAACATTCCTTACAACTTATAACCACTGTTACCTAATAGGTATACTATTCATTTTTTTTTAAGTGTTCAAGAAGATAACTTCACTTAAATTGGTTTTGATCAGCTTAGTTTAAACCATTGAAATAATTTTGAAAGTTAATGAATTTTTTGATTTGTGTCATTTTGACGAGAGTTTTCTCTTCATTCTTTTCTTTTTGTATAATACTAAAAAAATGCAGGAACAGCAACCGGGTCCAGCTCCAGTCATTCAAGAACCTTGATGAAAAATTCCAAAAGCATCATAATAATTATTAAAAAATTAAATTTCCGAATGCATAGGCACTCAGTTTGATTTAGTTGTCTTGCCATTTAAATTAATACAAATTGCTACTGTAAAATTGACTGTCCAATGCTGATGTCTCTTTTTTTTTTTAAATGGAGGTATGTTGACTTAACTAATATGTTATATGTATACCTATATAGAAAAAAAGCTTCTTTTATCACTCTGGTATTTACATTTAAGAATTCAGTTTTTTTTCCGTTTGAGTGCTTAGAGCCTTAAAAGTGTGCCGTTCTTTCAAAATTTGAACATGTTAAGAGTTTATTTCTTTATCCGTATATACTTTTAAATTAAAGCGTTATTGAGGACTTGGAGAACTATACGAGTGGCAAAAACAGGTACGATTTGGCGGTTCACTGCAGAATTAATTCTTTGTTGATGTGGTAAAATGCTAAAAATTTCTACCAATGAAACTAGGAAATAATAAAACCTCCCGTTTAAGCCTCATCAATCTCCTAATACCTCAGCGTTTGGCACAATAGTTTGTTCTTACGGCAAGCACTAAGTGGAGGTAAAACGTGGCCAAGTGTTCACCTCATACAAATTGTTAAGACCGTAATACTCTTTAATTGATCGACCCTCGTTCACTTCATCCACTAATGGCTCTCGAAAAGGATACAGCAATCGTTAGCGCGAGTACCAACAATGCGGTTGCAGACGCACTCAAAAATTAATTAACATTGTCTCGTGGTCAAAATCTGTTTGTACAAGTCAATGCCGAATTTTCTAAACCTTGTAAACAGTTTTTGCGATTGTTGTTTCATTATGTAATGCAAGAAACAAAGAGCTGGGGATTTGAAATTAAAGAAGTCTTTGAAAGTTTGTAAAAATGATTATTTTGCGGCGTATTTTAATATGTGAAGCCCAAGAATGCTTGATTGAAACTTTTTCCATCTCAACTGGAAGAAAAAACTGTGGTGGCGGGGCGAACGTCATTAGCACCCCAATCGATCCTAATTACTCGACCTTATATGACCCATAAACGGGTCGTTTAGCACCCGCTCGCTCTATATTAAATGGATACTCATATTTCTACCCCGCATTCCTTCCTTATTGCGAATTCCCCAAGTATCATTTAGGGGTAATGAAGTGGCGACAGCTCTTTTATCCTTCCCTCAAGCCTCCTGTTGCGAAAATATCGAGACGTTTGCCCCAAATTCATGCATTTTCCTTTGGACAAGGACTCAGAATGTTCATTATATTTATATTTGCGAGCTTTTGATTCGTTTTTATAGAAAAATGCGTCGAGCACTTTTAAAGAGCTTTTATTGGCGGAATAAAAGACTGTATACCAAGTTAATTCCTACGTTTCAGTGTGCTCCAACATTTTGTTTTCAGTTTCAGAGTGGTCACGGTCCAGCTAGACGATTGCGTTTTCACCACTTTGCAGCAGACCACTCGAAAGATCAACTCGATTATTTTCACTACCGGATTTTTATGCGAGGGACCGGAATGACGGAGTCTCGAGCGACCTTCTATATTTATTTTTTTTATAATTGCTGCTTTTAAAATTGTTCAAGAGCTTAGTCTGACCAGTTGCAAAATAACTCGCACAAAAATAATGATTTTTATGTAACACAAAACGCTTTTTTCTCTTTCTTCTTACATGTTCACGTCTCCTCTCACTACTAGTCGACAATAAACATTTGGCAATTTAAAAGTATAGTCCTGTAATGTTTAATAATGTTTGGTCAATATTGACATATAGTGAACATTCGCCATCGAACGACACAACACAGCGATTTTTCAATTTAAGAAGAAATTCTTGCATGTATCTATGGAAATGTAAATTCTAAAAGGTCATGCAATGTTTGTCTATTGAGGTCCCAGTTTCAGTGTATTTGTTCCAGCAGCTAACCATCATTACTTTACCACTGTCATATTTATCTAGCGGAACTTTTCATTTTTCCCTTACTATTATTCTTTCTGTTTTCTTAAATACTCTATAAGTTGTGCAAACGAACGACATTAAATAACAATTAGGATTTTTCTATTTGCACAATTTTATGTGCCGCATTAGTGTTGCTAGTTGATTTTAATTAGGATACCAATTAAGCTAAGCAAACAACGGTGTAATAATAATGTACATTTTAGTTTCTAAAATTTTCTACTAATATATACGATTGTTGCATATAAAAACGTATTTATAAACGTGAGTTAAATCTATGATACAACTGTCGTAATAGGATAAATACCGTCTACGACTTTTTATTTTATTGAACAATGTACAGTTTTCTCATTCATTGTAACTATACCTATAATAGTAATTCACTTTTCAACTTCAATGCTGCTATAGCAATTACGATTAGCGGTTAGTCTAGGCATAGGTAACCAATATTGCAAAGGCTTTAATATCGATAAATAAAAGACAAATTTGTAAAAACAACAAAGTAAATGTAATTAAATATTAATTAGAAAAATAGAACCCATCAAAAAATGAAAAATATTTAATAATAAAGCAAGTACGCTTTACGTTTCAAGACTGACACTTGACAAACTTGACACAAAATTTTAGTTTTGAATATTTTAATATCTAGTACCCTCTAAAAGCTTGAAATGTTGGTCGCCTACCTTATGAAATTGACTCGGTTTTTTAAAAAGTATACATAGGGCTATGTATACTAATAAAAAAATGTTCCTGTATATATTTTCATATCTATAAACAACTCGACGAATAATGTTCTGTTTTAATAAAAAATGAAGTAGTACTAGTTAATGTCCTAACTGAAACTAAATCTGTTTTTAATTTATAGGAAACTTTTGTCTTAAAATTGAATATTCTATCACCTGTTTAAATTTGTAACAATAGAAACGGAACAGCCTGTATATTCAGGGTATATACATGAACATGTATCAAAAAATGTTATGTAAGCGAGTTACATCCCCTAAAAGAGATGCGCTTTTAATGGGGTTTTCTCACTATTGCAGAATAGATAAAATTTTAAAAGTTGATTCAGCTAATAACCTTTAAACACCTGAACAAACTCAAAGATCAATTGTCGAAATTTTTAATCACGGGCGCGGGCGTCTTAAACGGTAAAACGAATTTAATTTTTAGGAGTGATTTTTATCCTTTTTATGGTTTGTAAGATAAATTGTAAACTGGTTTTACTCAAAAACGGTAAGTTGTATCATCAGAAAAACAAAAGAGAAGTTTAGAATTTTATAGCTAAAAGTAACAAGAACCAACAGGCATAATAGTTAGGGTACTTTTTACCCTAAACCTTCCCAGTTAAAGACGCTCTTGAGTAAAAATTTTGACATTTTATCTTGGTATTCGTTTGGGTTTATAAAGGTTATCAGTTATTAAATATTGGAAAAAATCCATTAAAAGATGCACTCTTTCCGAGGATGTAGCTCTCTTATATTAGTTATTTATTTTAGAGTTTGAGTGTAAATAGGACGCATCATTTCACCGAGAAGATTTTTAAACCACGAGTGTAATGTAATGTATCATCCACGAGGTGGAATAAAGCGTCCGATTCACACTCAAACGAGTTAAATACAACATTTTATTCTTCGAATAAGACTCAACAAGGCTTAAACTTGCTTTAAATATAGTAAAAATAATCTGACGTTTCGTATTGAGAAATGCCAAATAGTTGACAATTTAATAATCTTTTAAATGCTAAAACAATAAATAGGGTGTTCCATTTAAATTTTTTAAGTTATTAAACTTTTTACAAACGCCTTTATTTTTTAATCTTTGCAAATGCAACACACTAAAAAAATGTTACAACCTTATAGCTTGTACCTTTTTCTTTGCGATAGTAAAATAAAATATTTCTAGATGTCTTAGATTTTGTGTAATAAATTTTTAAAAAGTTCATGTTTTCGTCAAAAAAACGTCTTTTTTGAGACACGCTGTATAGTTGAAAATAATTTAGGCGATAGACTAGATTAGTTATATGAATGTCCTACATAATTTTTTTTTTAAAATTTACTATTGGACTTTTTCAACTCGCTGGGACAGCATGTCTAAGGCCATCAAAAAGTTATAATTTTTTCAGAATTTTTAAATCACGATTTATTTTTTTATTCAGTATAGTTCAACCTTAAAATTAAAAATTAGTATTTCATCTATTTTGAGGAGAAAAAATAAATTTTACGTTAAAAGTTAGAAATTTTATATTAACAATTCCAAATTTTCTACATCTTGTAAACTTATTTTAAGTTTATTTTTTTCATTTGATTTAAAAATGCTTTAATACAACAATAATAGATTTTAATCGCATAGATATTTTTTATTTTCTGAACGACTTGTTTTGGTAGAAAATCAATCTTATCCTGAAATTTGCTTTAGCAAGATTTATTTTTGGCAATATCTTGGAATTGTTTAATTCAACAGATTAGAAAAAAACACCGCCAGGGGTTATGTATCTGTTACGTGCCCGTCATAAGAAAGCACTGTAACATTTACAGAAATAATGGCTAGGCAAACATTATCCACTCATCAAGCACTCAAGAATATTAATGAACATAAGCGAAGACGATGACGACGTCTCGAGTCTCGTTTTTAATTTGCTTCGTGTGTGTTTTTCTTCAGAAAGGAGAAACGGCTCTCTTTTGAAAACGGATACTTCTAAACGTTCGACTTCCTACAGTTGCACTCTCAAAACGACAAGAATTTCAATTGCAAACTTCTCAAGTTTTTTTCCCTTCGTGTAACGCTACACCGGAGACGAGATCCCCGGAAAAACCGCGCGATGTAAATTATTATTTCCGGTGTTGTTAGTGGATGTACTATTGAAATCTGATCGTGAATAAAGATGGTGTCACAATGGCATCGCGGAGCGCCTGGAAATCTAGTCTTTTGTGGCGCCGATGGCGACTGAAATGTTGCGTCTGACGTCCCATCCAATATCGACGCCGATTCATTCAAATCAATGTGTTTTTTCGAATCTTTTTGTGCCCCACGATAATTGGTTTGTCCCGGCAATTGGCTTGAAAGGAAAAAGGTTCCACGCAGAACAAGGAACAAGAAATCACATTTATTTTGTGACAAATTAATATTTTTACATCAAATTCTTATTGAATTATCGAATGTACATATGAATATACAGAGTGAGTTTTAACATTCATATTATACTGTTAAATTTATAGGGAATTAAAGGTTATGATCAATAATTTGTAAAATGGCAAAATAAGTTAATGAAACTTTTGTGTTTACAGAGATAATCTCATAAATTTAACCTCACTCCTTTATCAGGCTGGCGTCATGAAATGCAGTGGTTAGCACTTGGAGTTATCCTCATCAGACCAAATTTTATATAAAATATTAAAGTTTAATAGTGTGTTTATCATGGAATATCTCAATTTTCAATAATTCATCATAATTCAATGACTCCCTAAGTTTACTCGTGTATGTTAACACTCACTATGTATGACATCATCAGCGCCTTGGAAAATACGATAACAGATTTAGATTCCTTGTATAAAAGTGCCTTAAGAACGTCCTAGTTAAAAACGTCTAGGCCTATAACTGAATATTATCATAGAATGTCTTACCAAAAATTTGAAATGTTCAAACACCTCATAAAATCTTTAGGCAAGAAATAATCTGTGTTAAATCAATCTCCAATGTGGGTCACTTTTCCAAACGCCATTTCTATTTACTAATGTAACTGTTAAATTTGTTTCACCTATTTTTTAATTAATCTAGCAAACAACATAAACCACTTACTTGGACTCGACGGTTCCGATGAATCCGAGGCTGTGAACGTATTCCTCTGCATCAACTGTGAGATTCCTACGTCAGGATTCTGTGGTATAGAAGACGGAGTAACTGGTGAATCTCCCACAACACCTGCAGGAGTTGGGAAAAGAATCCCCAGCTCTCTTGCTTCATTTTCTTCCTGTGCTTGTTGTCTTCTTAGGGCTACTTGGGCCGCCATAACTCTTTGTCTTTCAGCAATGAGAGTGCATTTAGCGCAATTGCAGTCGCGCCATCGGCAGTACCTTTTGTGACCTTTGAGGGCCGAGACGACGCCGTGATTGCGACAACGTGCGCATTTTGGTGTTCGTTGGTAGCGTTCGGACGCGCGTAGGAAAAAAGCCGGAGGAATGGCACCCAGGACTGGATGTTGCGACATGAGGGAGGACATGTCGACTCCGCTACTGGGAAGGCTCATGGTAGTGTGGTGTTGTATGTGGTCCTATGTAAAGAGACAACACATTTTAAAGTAAAACCAAAAATTTTTATTTGAGTTCATTTTTTTACTTCCCTAATTTTACTTCGTTCTTAACTAAACACTATTTAAAAACTGTGTTCTAAAAATTACTAATGTTTTTTAAGATTGTCATAAAAAAGTTTTTTAGTCTGACTAAATTTCTTTAATAAGGAGCTCTTTTTGAGTTAAAATAATTACATAGATACAATTATTACAGATAGTCAAAATGATATATGATTTAATAATTATTTTTATCTGCTATAACAAGTTTTAAGGTTGAAAGACTAAGTTAAAAGTTCACCGCTAGATATACATCTTAATTTGATTGTGAGAATTAAATTAAATAAAGTAAAGAAACACAATTCTGCGCTATTTGAAATTTTGATTATTTTGGCATTTATAAGCTAGAATAGCCTTAAATAAAGCATGGGTAGTTGATTTTGTTAAATTTATTTCTTGACAAACACGTTAAATAAAAATGCACACATTTTTTCATAGAGTAATTTATTTTGATTAGAAGTACCTACTTATATAGTTCAAAGTATAAAAAAGTATAAACCTATTTGTATGTACATACCTACGCATGGTATACCTACATATACCCTATATACCTACACACTATAAGTAGGTATACCGAATATTCATTTTAATAGGTAGGTATTCTGTAGTATTCAATAATTTTTAGTTTCTTAAACAAAACATAGAAGTTTTATTACATACAAGTAAACCAAAAATTCGAATGATTAAAATATGATTCTTTTTTCTTTCTAAAATAAAAAAAAATGTTATCTTTGAAGCAATAGTTAACAAAATTGTTTCATATAAGATTCTAAGCAAGTGTTTTTAAGAATACTTGGATGAGCAAATTTTATAAATTACAAAAGTATAGGTACTTACATAATAATAAAATATTATAGTAGGTATATGAAGTATATATTATTTGGAGTAAAAATCAGACTTATACCCTCATTTGTTTTCTAGATTCAATGCTTACTTAATTTTTTTAGTAGCAACAAAAAATTAAATTTATTATTAAAAAAAATCCTAATTCAGTGATATATCTATCTATTAGGTACAGATATAACGTAACTCTCACTGAATTTAATACTAATAATAGGTATGTATGTCCCTATACAAAAATTCAACATATCGTGTACCTACTAAACTATACCGTTACATTTTCCATTTTGTGTTTCTTGTCCTTAAAATATGTTAACCTGATTTAGTGGAAGATGGTGTACAGGACAAAGGGAAATAAAAACCATTAAATTCGTCGCGACGTTTCGATACCTTTATTATATCTTCCTCAGGCTACAATTTAGTCGTTTAGTTTTTGTATATGGTTGGAAAATTTGACCTTACCGAAGAGCTCAGCCAACAAGAATTCTTCGGTAAGGTCAAATTTTCCAACCATACAAAAACTAAACGACTAAATTGTAGTCTGAGGAAGATAAAATGAAGGTATCGAAACATCGCGACGAATTTAATGGTTTTTATTTCCCTTTGTCCTGTATACCATCTCCCACGAAATGAGGTTAATATACCGTTACAGATACTAGCTATTTTATATACTATGTAAAATTTAAGTTTGTAGAAAAATTGAAAATGATGCGAAAAAAGTCAAATTCTAATTATTTGAAGCAATATAAGCCGTGATAGAATAAGGTAAAAATTGTTATCAAATACCTACTTGTAAATTGATGCTGAATAGATAGATTTTTTTATTGTTGTACTGATGTCCAATTATGTTTATGTATGTTTAAAATACGTTACATACCTACCTATATGTATTTTGTTTTATTTTACTTAATACTTCTAGCAATTAAAATTAATTATTTCTTTTTATATAAACAGAGAAAAAAAGCATGTAAAAAATATATATAAAAAAAATATTGTCCTTCAAGATTTGGCGTCATTGAAATACATACCTAATTATGTACTAAAGTACAGAAAATACCTATATATTTAATTTACTGTAGAGATTTTCCTCAACTTTGTAATAATATTTATCAATCGCATAATTTATTTTAAATTTTTGTTTTTTAAATAAAACACATTTTAAAACATCATTTGTATTAAAGTAAGTAGGTAGGCCCATAGACCTCTATAATATGACTTTTTTAACTTTTTTTGCAGAATTAGAAATACCTAATTTGACCAAAAAGAGTATAGATTACACGGCTTTTTAAAAATCAAATTTAGGTAGTTATCTACTAGTGGAAATGTAGTTACAGTTAGTTTAGGCCGATAGGAAATACTTATAAGAATACAAATAAATAATAAAATGTTTACAGTTTGTGCTCACCTCTATGACTTTTGGTCGTTCAGTTCACCATTCCACAGCGCGCGAACCCGCCACTACCCGAAGTTCCGGAGTTTTCGAGACTGAGCGGACAATTTCTGCGTAATGATACCGTATCCGGTGATCGCAACAGTCCTTACCACTGTTGGTTGGCCGCGCTTGTTACATGGACCAATCGCCGTCGAGTTCTCCCTAAACTCCGCCTGAATTAGATGACGTGTTAAAGAATAACGCCCATCGACCCCGCTTGCTTGATATTTACTGTATTATGTGGGGTATTATAATGGATAGAATAATAGGAATACAAACTAGTTTTCAATGGCAAATATATTATACGGCTATTATAATGGGACGGCGAAGGAGGGCTTAAGTGCCTCGAATATACTACACTCTCTAGTTCTATTGTTTGCGTTCTTGAGGACTGTGATACTCTAGGTTTCATATAATGAACGTAGGTAAACGAAACGACTTTAAATTTAGAGGTAACGACGCAGTTTAGATGATTTTCTGAAACAAAAAACAATCGACAGATTATTCCTACTTACGAGTAAAATAGGAAAGAATAATTAGTAGTAATTATTAGTAGTAAGTAAAATATGTCTATTATGTGAATACATAATATTTAATAATAATAATAATAATAATAATAATAATAATAATAATAATAATAATAATAATAATAATAATAATAATAATAATATAGAAATTCGCTAAAAGGCGACATTCTGACGAATGTAGTTTAGAGTTCGGTTATAGTAAAAGCTGTATTCACAAAGCAATTGCCACATCTCGGAATTTCTTGCAATCTAAACAAACCCATGGGTTTGGGATAGGTGACGCTTAACGTTTCGGGACAGATAACGTACTAACAATATCCCTGCTAAGACACTACGTGCACGCTTAGCAAAAGAAATATTCATTAAGGGTAGCAGTACAGGCGGAGCACCCTTTTTAGGCGAAGATGCAGAAAGGAAGCTGTGTAACCACATAGGTCTCTTTTTTTTGCACCTACGTCGCCGCAGAGGTGTCTTCAAGATATGCGCACACCCTTTAAAAACTACTGTATGCCTTGTGGGAATAAGACAATTGCCAAAAAGTAACGAAATTGTGTTGAAACCTTATTAGCAATCTGTCCCACACCCAATGAGCCGTCTCACCCATGGACTTCGGGAGAGATTGGCAAATTCAGAATTTTGTATAATTTTTTTTTAATGAAAAATGTTTGAGTTTATTTTCTCGTTGAATTTATGCAATAAAAGTTTAATGTCTAAAAAGCGTTATTTATACTTTAGAACCACGTTCAGTATAAAAAAAGTAGATGTTTGGCGCGTTTTCCAAAAGGTGCGTCATCTCTCCCTGTTTTACCCTACGTATGATGTGGTTTTCACAGTGAGGTGTTAAATATCATATTACACTAGTTTACAAATAATAACTTATTTAATATACATACTGTTATTTACCTTCAATTAAATAAAAATATTTGTAAATTTTTTATCACGTCATATAGTTTTTTGTTACGAACGATAATTTTCCTGCTTTCTGCACAAATGCCTCCGATTTAAAGTTCATTTAAAATTTAAATTGTTGCTGAATTATTGCAAAATTATCACCAGATGAGTTTAAATGGGTCTTATTTTATGAATTCTTATTTAAACTTCTTTTCTAAAAACTTAGGCAGCATGAGTGACGAACAGGGCGAGCGTTTTCATCAAGGAACGGTTTACGAAGATCATCAAGATCAAAGGTTTTTGAGATGAAAATATGTTAGGAGGTTACTGTATTATATTATAAAGGAAACTGATCCAAAAAATTATAAAAAACAAAATAAAATAACTTATTTTTACTTTGTTGTTTTTTTAATTTTTGTTTATTACATATTTCTTAAACCTGACGTGGTGGACTTTTTTCAATTTTTTTTTTTTTGAATACAGTGCCTCAAAATTTATAAGAAATTATAACTTTCAGGTTAAGGTATAAAAATTTTGTTAACTAGTGCAAAACTTTCAATAGGTATACGTAGCTCGTTCACAATCAAAATTTCATTTTTTCAATCGATTCAAAATGGATAGCTTTGACGCCAAATTTAGAAAACACCCGTTATGTAAAAAACATTTTAAGTTTAATAAAGTGGTGTTTGACTATTAAGTAGTTTTACAGATTATTATTGTTATGAAAACAATTTTGTTTTTCCATGGCGGTCTTTGTTACAAATATTTTTTTTAATTTGGAGAATAAACATAAAAGAAAATGTGAGAGATCAAAGTTGGCAGAGGTTTTTGAAATCTTATAAGTAGATCTAAGATTTTGGCTTCAAGAGACTTTTTTAAATAACTTTTTAGTACTTGTTACTAAAAAGCTATCTTGGATAAAAGTGAAAAATCTTGGTTGACTGATGATTTTGAAATTTGATATGAACCTAGATATTGATTCTAAATAACTTTTCCAATAACATTTTTGTCGTATATTCAACATAATAAGTACACATTAGTGATAATACAAAGTGAAGTTATTAATAAGAGCTGTTCTACATAAAATGTCAACCGAATGACATTACTGCTCTATTTTTTCCGAGCCTCTATAAAGTTACGTACATGTGAAATGTCTTTAATGACTGTAGGCATGTTCATGCTGATTTGTCCTTAAAAACATTTGTCATAAAGACAATTATGACTTATGCTTAGCACAAAAGCCCACACATTGTCTTTTTTGAAATGACATTTAGGTATATGAGTGCTCGACATTTTTTAAATAGATAAACCCCCCCTCCCCTAAACTCTACCACAAGCTGCGCCACTGCGTTAGGTTTTTTAATAATGATAAAAATTACACTAAAATTTCTCAACAACGGACACCAATGAAAAACCTTTATTTGTCCGTTGTGAAGAGGTGTCTCGACACTAAAAGCTCGCTCAGCTTATCTTCACAAATGATTATTCAAACCAATCTTATTTTTAAAGCAATAAGTGGCCTTTATAGATACATGTTTAAAAATAAATATACAGGCACTTACTGAAGAATATTTTCTATTTCTCAGTTTTGTTTCTGACGTCGAGTGCGTTGCATATACATTTTTTGCATTTGCATTTTTATAGCCATTGCACACCTATAAATTTTTGTGCCAAAAAATTTGATAGTTTCGCCAGAATTACATCGTTTCCAGACTTTTGGACCACCCTGTATACGATATTCGAAGTTCACGTTTTACCTAAATTTAATTCAGTATTTCCACCACCAAGAAATTGTATCTTTACAACACTGCAGTCATCTTGAAAGTTTAGGTAAACTGTAAAATTTATTTTACATTCTGAGATTTCTTTAGGCAAATTCAACATGTATGTACTGTGATAATACCAAATCGTTTTCATATTAATGTGCATCGAAGTAGTCGTTGAAAGGGATCATTTTAAGGTGGCAACCATGCGAAAATTCAAACAATCCTCAACTCAATCTTCCCTAAAAATTATTTTTTCAAATAAATGTGTACCCCATGTAGCAAAAAATAGTTAAAATTAACAACTTAATCAACATAGGATAGCAAACATAAAGACCTACCTATACCTATACCTGGACTCCATTAAAGACCTTCTTGTTTAAAATCGTAGAGCTTTATTAGCTAATAGCAACTGATGATTTTCTTGAGATAAAGTGTCGTTCTTTTAATAATTTTATAAAACAATTTTACTGATAATGTGTACCTATCTAATTACCTACTAGTTGGAATTATATTGACTATTTCCCTCACAAATTTTAAGACAATCAAATCTTTCTGAGATTTATCCAATCAGATTCAAATTACAACTTGCCATTTTTAATATTGACATCTGCAATTTATGCACATGGGCGACTCATGTTACACCCACAGTGGCACCGGTTAAACATTGGGTAATAATTTTGCTATTTCGCTTTTCTCGAGGCTTTTTTAATAGAGATAATTTAATTATTAAATAATTCTTGTAGCTATTGATAAATAAATCATAATTTCAACGCGTAAAATACTTCAAATGGTCTCATATTTGACTCGGTCGAGCCGTCCCTGTAAACATTTCAACTCTATGTATTTGAAGTTTTTCAACTCCAATTACAAAAAAAAACACTTTAACCGTTTCTATAAAGATTCACAAGGGGGCAATTTTTGATACCTAAAGATAAAATATTTTATATGGAAATGTTATAATTTACTCGAAAGTCTACATAAGTTTCAAAATTGAATTTATTTTTTCTACGAAAGTAGAAAGTGTCAAATAAGTTAACTTTTTATACTATGCAAAATCTTAATTTTTGTAATTATATCTATGTATATTGTCTCAGATTTTTCTAAAAATGCAATTTTAACAAAGTATTTCTAGCAATAGACAATCAAAAAAAGTATGGGTACAACGACTTCTGGTAGGTAAGCTGTCGCCGTATTATTGAAATGTTAATTTTAATTAAGCTTTTCTAAAAGCGACTCTGAGCTCCAGCGAGCTTGGCTTCAAACATTTAATAAACTGTGTATACAATATAAAATAGACTAAGATCGTTTCTCATCGCGATTTCACTTTTTAATAAAAGTTGGAACGAACGCTATCAAATTCAATTACAATCTTAATAAATCCCCGTTTAAATTGCAAAACTGAATGAATACACAATAACTTCAAACTTGATATGTATGCAGAGTAGACAGAATTAATTGAATTTCATGCTGCCAGTTTCGGCATTGTTAGCGAACGTATATCTATGCAAAGTCACAATTCTATTGTAATCAGGCACAATGGCCGATATCGCATTGTAACTGGCAAACTTTAAATTAATCCTCCTTCGTCGCCGTCGACTCCGACGTCGACACATCGCTCACCTTGGCGAAAAAACGGGGAGTGTTGCAGGCACTGCCGCCGCCGCTGCCGGCCCGCTCGTAATCCGCGCTTAATTAAATTCCAGCAGCCGCGATCTTAGAGCACCTCGCCGTCATTATCCCCTTCTTTTATTCTACATATAACCTTTCGCATACCGGCCTTTGTCCTCGGATTCAAAGAGACAATTTCATGTAATTGTGCATAAAAGTCCGGGACGGAGGAGTCACCACAATGGAGCCGGCCGCGCGGAATGACTTCACAAATAGCTCACCCATTGTACAAGATCGTCTTGGAAACTTCATCTCATTTGTAATTTTACGGTATCGTCGACGGAGGAGTGCGCCGGGGGCGGCCACCGCACCGCCGCTCGACTCTGCTCATGACTCCAAAGACAAGCGATTTTATCAGTTTTTATTTCTGTTTAAACATCGCAAGAAGAACGCTTCTCTACATAAATACGCAGAGAACAAAACAATTAGGTCAATATCATAGAACCACTTTGTTCGGTGCCAGCTAAAACTACTTTTAGTGTAAGTTTTCAGATACATACTAACATTAATTAACTTAAAATAACAGGTATGTTCTGTAATGTAATGTAATCCGAGAATAGTCCACAGAGCTTCATAATTTAAAAAACTTTTTTTTTAATACGTAAACAGGGTGTTTCAGAACTTGCGTTTTAAGTAAGAAATGCTAAACTTTTTCAATAATTGTATGCATTTTACAGACTCTCTTTAATACGTAAACCAGGGTGTTTCAGAACTTGCGTTTTAAGTAAGAAATGCTAAACTTTTTCAATAATTTTATCCATTTTACAGACTCTTTTATTATACAGTAAGCGGCAAAATTATGGAATAATCTTATTAAAACTGGAGATATTTTGTTTTGGAAAAAATGCTCGAATAGGGCAATTTTCTTTTTAAAAGATACAGTTTTCAACTTGATTTGAAATTTTACATTTTTTTGGTTTTTGAGTAACTACGTTACCGACATTTTTTTAATAAAAACCCTTAATTTTTTAGCCAATTCGATAGATCTTATAATTGTCGAAATAACAACATCAAAATATTAAATATTTCATAACGTTTTAGAAAAAAAATCATCCGAAAAGTGAAATATCAACAAAAAACACACATACATTTTTAAATCAAGTTGAGAATTTTGTATTTTATAATAAGAAAATTAATTTGTTGTTGACTTGTTATTTTTGTGAAAACAAAATATTTTCAGTTTTTCATAATTTCGCCGCTCACTGTACACCTTTATAAATAGTTTGGTCAAATAGCAACAATCGTAAAATCTATATTTTAGCTTTCAACAGGTGCTTCTTTGGAAACCAAAAACCACTAGCTCACTCTTGAAACGCAAACACGGTCTTATCGCGTTCATCATTTCAACAAACTGTCGCAAAATACCTACCGTAAAAAGCGGTCTATTGTATCAGTCGTTGTTCGTCCAACAATGGCAATTATCCGGGGATGAACTTGTAAGGTTAATAGAGAGATTGAATATCGGTCGATTTGTATCACAATATGCTACATAATAAGCCAGCGCCGAGGGGCTTATCAGATCGTCGTGGAGACCACAGCTCCCACGCAATGCATACACAACCCTCGAGATAAGGGTGAGTGTAGAGAACAGGTATGATGTCGAAAGAGTGCATTTGATTGAAAGCGTTTATCTGATGAAAGATTTGATATTTTTCTAGAGGGCTGTCTTGGGATAGAGAGGGTTGCGGCAGGTAGGGAAATCGATATCTGGGGCAACAGTTAAATTGTCTATTTATATTCTAAAACTAAACATAAAAAATCGTAAAGCCTTAATTTTGTTGGTTTTTATAATACTTTTTGAAAAAAAAACTTTTCCATGAGATTCCACTGTTTCAAATATGTATGCTAAAGATTAGACAATTGTTACTACGCATTTGAATATTGTGTTGCCTATAATAACAATCAACCTTGCTGCCATGCGATGTTAAAAAAATCCTGTGGTCAGCGGAACCGTAAGGGTAGCTTGTCTGTAGGATTTTATCCAAATCAGAAATCTGTCGGCGACATTGACTGGTGGCCATTGAAAAAAATATAGAACCGGACAGCAGCACGGACACTATTATACCGTCCAACGAATATAAATCGTACACCGTATTCCTGCGATCATTTTTAAAAGTTTTCTGCCAACGGCACGTAGTGGTTATTGAAATTATCCTCGTTTTTCAGATTCAGATTTGAGATTTATGTTTTGCGGACGACTGATCCGTAATGTTGGAGAATGTGTATTGTTCAGTTTTTATTATATTATTTAAAATTAATTCGCTGGCGGTGTGGTTTTTTCATTTTTTCTGTATTTCCGCGTTTCGAGTTCCGCTTTTCAGGGCTATAGCCATTGTAAATAAATTATTGCTCTCGCAGGAATGGGACCGCATAAATCATTCCGATCATCTCGTAGTGCTTTTTCAACGTCATACTTTGAAAATGAAAAATTTAATTCTTTAATTTCTACTCCCTCAGAGAAATAGAGAGAGAGAGGAGTAAATATTCACATTCTTTGATATTTTCAGTAATTTTGAAAACAACATAACTCTTATTATTATGTAACGATTAAAACTTATAATAAAAACTAAATTTGGCGAAAATCGTTTTAATTTTCTTTGACCTTAATCAATAACAACAGTCAAACCCGTTTAAAAAATAGAATTTGGAAATCTTTAAAATGACAAAATTATTTATGAAAAACTTTTACTAAATATTGATTTTATTAAAGACAGCAAATCCACGCTGAAATTGTAAAAGATTTAATGACTATCCTATATTTAACGTTTTTGAAAAGTTGCTGCGCGTTTCTAATTCAAAATCGATTAAATACATATTTCTGGAGTTCAGGTAGCCTCATTATTTTTCACTATCAGATGTGTCATCGGTGAAGTAATTAACACTTAGTTTCTTTAACAATTAAAAAATCATAAAGGAAATTTCTTTCAAACATAGCATTACCTATATAAACTCGAAACACATATGAAAAAAACAGAGTACCTCAAGATCTCAAACAATGGCAGTCATAGTAAGTCATTTATTACAAAACAAAAAAACAACAAAAATAATTTGATTAATTTTTTTTCAGGCAGTTTTATTCTTGGCTCTTGTAGCTTTCTCCGAAGCCATCCCCGCCAACTACGACTTTTCCTACGATGTTTCTAACTCACACAGCCGAAAAGAAATTGCCGATGGCAACACCATCAAAGGCAGTTACACCGTCGTAGACCCTAATGGAGTTACCCGTACGGTCCACTACACTGCTGATGACACAAATGGTTTTGTTGCAAATATCGAAGAAGTAGGACATTACAAACAACGCCATGAAGAACATCAAGAAGAACAACACCACGAAGAAGTGCCCACCACCGTAGTTCCTGGTGAAGACGACGGCAGCTATCACCACGAAGGTGAAGAAGAAGGTAGTTATAACAAAGCGCGCTATGAAATGCACGCTGAAGGAGAAGAGGATGGAAGTTACCACGAACAGCACGATGAAGGACATGAAGATGGCAACTACCACCCCAGTCATGAAGAAGAAGGTCATGATGATGGAAGTTACAGAGTAGCTCGCGAAGATGGACATGATGATGATGGACAATATCATGAGTCGTACAATCCTCTTCGTTTAGTTCCTGTTCCATTTTCTGGAGCGTACGCTTACCCAGGAGGAGTTCGCGCCTATGGTGCCCCAGGAGTGGCTCCATATGCTTACCCTTATTCACCCTACAGCGGATTTCCCTACACTGGATTACCCTACTACAATCACGCTTACGGGTACTACCCTTACGGTGTAGCATCACCTTTCAATTATTTAAGAATTTAAAGAATTTTCTAATGTAATTTAAAACTAGTAAAAATAAAGCACTTTTCTAAATGTTTTGACCACTGTCTATACATTTTAACTATCCCAAAGTATACGTGTTTTACAATACACCGGATGTCCCAAGCAGGTTTGAATATACAGGGTGAGTCATATATAATAAAGACACTAACCGATTTAAAGACGCAAGCCAAAATACATTCTCAGATACCACTATGCGTTAATTAATGTGCTGTTTGAAATTTTCAAGGATATAAACATAGATACCTGTGATAGCTTTGATAATTTTTAGGACTTGGAATCTTACGGTGTACTTTTAAGCCACAGGATTTTGTGGCATTCCCCATTTATCAAGATCATGTCAGTTTCTTCGTCGTTTGAATATATTTTGAATTCAAGAGAAGAAGTAGAATTTTTGACACTGTCAAATTTAATTAATGATATATCAACAATTACTTTGATTTGAATTTAATAAACTAAATTATTCAAACGTACAAAAAGCAAAGTTGACTGTGAGAATGTATTTTGAGTTGCGTCTAAAAATCGGTCAACGTCTTTATTATAAGTGACTCAGCCTGTAGGAAATTAACATGAGAAATTAGTTTTTATTTTTTTTTTTTCGGCTGCAGGAGTAACAGAAATTAAAATCTGATTAATGGAGCTTGTAGTGCTCGAAAAGAGCATCGACATTCTGTCGATTTTCCAATTAACTCCATTTGGGCGAAAACGGACCTCGAAAAATCGAAATTTGAATTTGCCGGATTAGCATTACTAAGAAACGAACTATCAAGTCATTGTTGCTAAGGAGAATTTGTCAACTAAAAGCCCTTGGTATGAAACTAATATTCCATGTTAATTTCCTATATCCTGGGCCTGCTTGGGACACCCAGCATATAAATTTAGCAGTTTAGTTTTATCATACTTTTGAGTTGAATTTTGTATTTTAAATAATTGTTTTGTAATGTACCTAAATACATATAACTACTTCCCAGCAATCAAATATTCGGTTATGAAACTGTAATTCTGCGATTAGAATTCATTATTGCCACATCTAAAATCTTGAGAGTAGGTACGTTTATATGTCATGACCAAATAATTACTTAGATTTTCTAAAACTTGTAAAAGTATGTATATGTATTTTTGTATATTATGTTAGACATTTTAATGTATTTAAAATTTGAAAAAAATTGTTAAAGTTTGTATTTTATAGCCCTGAAAAATAAAAAGCGAAAGTAAATATTGAATCAAATTATAAAAAAAAACTTTACGAAATTTTTATAGTTATTACAATAATAGAAACAAATGCAATTCTCAACCAAAAAAATTCGAACGTAACTTGATTTACCAGAAATTACAATTTTCTGGTTTATTATTGCAGCATCAGTAGGTGTGGACCACGCCTTCTTTGAGACATATAAATATTGATTCTTATTTCGATCAAATCACACTCGAAATCAAAATCTCAAGTGAACAACATGGCATTTAAAGTGAGTCAGCTTTTAGTGGGTCAAAATTAACATTTCATTGATTATTTTCTTTTCAGTTCATCGTATTTTCCACTCTTTTGGCTTTGGCTAAAGCCGGCGTCCCAGCTCTTTCTTATGCTGCTGCTCCCGCTATTTCTTACGCCGCCGCTCCTGCTATCTCCTACGCCGCTCCCGCTATTTCTTACGGCGCTCCCATTGCCAAAGCCGTAGCTCCTGTAGCTTATGCTGCTCCAGTAGCTAAAGCCATCGTAGCTGAACCCTACGCCCCAGCACACTACGACTTCGCTTATGGCGTCAATGATCCTCACACCGGTGATAGCAAGAGCCAACATGAATCTCGCCGTGGAGATGTTGTCCAAGGTGCTTACTCTTTAGTCGATCCTGATGGTACTAAACGTACTGTAGAATACACCGCTGATCCTCACAATGGTTTCAACGCAATCGTTCATAAGGAACCATTAGCGGTCAAAGCTGTAGCTCCTGCTGTGGCCCCAGTAGCGTACGCTGCTCCTGTGGCTAAAGTTGCTGCCCCCGCTATCGCTACTTATGCCGCTCCAGCTATCCACAGTTATGCTGCCCCAGCTATCCATAGCTATGCTGCTCCAGCTATCCACAATTATGCTGCCCCAGCTATCCATAGCTATGCTGCTCCAGCTATCCACAGTTATGCTGCCCCAGCTATTCATAGCTATGCTGCTCCAGCTATCCACAGTTATGCCGCCCCCGCTATCCACAATTATGCTGCTGCCCCAGCTATTCATAGCTACGCTGCCCCAGCTGTAGGATACGCTGGTGGATACGGATATAGCGCTGGATTAGGATATTCCAAAGCTCTTCTTGGTTAATATAGACTGTTGACATATTCTATTATTTTAAATAGTCATTGTTACCTCAATTTTTAAAGAAAATTTTGTAATATGTATTTGTAATAATATTCTTTTAATAAAAAACAAAAAAAAACTTTTTGATATTTTATATGGTAGTAAAATGAAGATGCTACTGGCAAACGGACAATAGAAAAAACAACATAGCATATAAAAACTTTTTTAAAATTAACCGTATTGAAAATGCTAAACCGAATCCAACTGTTTATTTAAAATTGTTAAAAAAAAAACTTTACTTTCATGATAATAGTCATCATTGTACAGTGTGTCCCGGATAGGTGAAACGACTCTTGTAAAAGATTTTTATTTTTGCCCTGCTTGGCTAAAGATTTATTTTTGACATGATTTTAGTTTTGAAAAATCAAGTAGGTATTAAAAAAAACTATTTTTTTAGAGTAAAGTGCGCCTTATGTGACAAATACGACAAAAAATGTGTTTAGAATTAACTTTTAGGCCCATATACCAAATTTCAAAATTGTCGGCTATAATAACTATAATAATAATAATAATAATAATAATAATAATAATAACTATAATTTTTATTTTATTCCCAAAGTAATTGTTTTTTATTAACAACACGTCAAAAATTTCTTTAGTACTAATAATGTAAACGTAATTTTTGTTTATTCACTGAAATAGAAAGACGAGTCTATACCTAGTTTTAAAATACAATAAAATACCGTGCGATCAAATAAAAAATAAATTAGAGTAGGCGTCGATTAAATTCTACAGTTGGCAACACATTGGCTGGAAATCTGGGCAGAAAATTTTCCACACAAACTGAAAGTGAAAATGTCCATCATCCGTTTTCCTCTTATACAGCCATAAAAATTTTTTGCTCTAAAGTAAACATTATTTCACTCAAAAGGAATAAAACGCAAACTTGTCAAAGTTTCCGCTGACATTTGATATCAAAAATTAGAATTGCCATCTGAAGGACTTTAATCACGGCCTACTCTAATTTTTTTTTTTTGATCGAACGGTACAAACATCTGGTCCCAATGTCCCAAGTACATGTATCTATTTATTTAATCTTAGAATTTTCTTATTTATTTTTTAATTGACCTAATTAGTAATTAGTAAATATTCTTGATACCACTTTCCGAAAAACCTAGAAGTTCTTTTACACTTGTGCGACATATTTACTAAAAACATAAAATGACATAACAATACGTTTATGAGAAAAAAAAAACATATTTTTTTTTACTTTTTGAGCACATCCTATTCTTTAAAATGAAATTTAAAAATGTAGGCTTCTAAAGCGGTTTTCCTTAAACAAATAATAATGTCAAAAAACTGAAAGGAAATGTAGGTATCTGGGTAAACTAGAGTAAGACGTAACTCTAAAACAAGAACATTCTTACAAAACCCTTAAAGGTCAGTTCCAAAAACCGGAACCTTGAAATGGTAGCAAACTGCAATACGCAAAATATTGATGCAATTACATAGCAACATAAATTTCAGCCTCAGATTAACCCGTTTAACAAGAAACTCTTTATCAGGATCGGGGTTGCAACACAGCTGCTACAGCCACGCCTAGATGAATTTTGTATAAAAACCAAAAATTGCAGTGATTCTGCACACTCAACAATTGGTGGCAAAGTAAGCAACATGGCATTCAAAGTAAGTGAATCTACAATGTGTTCTGGTGACTTTACTAAATTTAATTTTTTCTAGTTCATTGTATTTTCAACTCTTTTGGCTTTGGCCCATGCTGGCGTCCCTGCTCTCCACGCTGCTCCAGCTCTCTCTTACGCTGCTGCCCCAGCCCTTTCTTACGCCGCCCCTATTGCTAGAGCAGTAGCCCCAATCGCTTACGCCGCTCCCGTCGCTAGAGCCGTAGCTCCAGTTGCTTATGGCGCCCCTATTGCGAGAGCTGTTGCCCCTGTAGCTTACGCCGCTCCCGTAGCCAAAGCTGTAGTCGCCGAGCCTTATGCCCCAGCCCACTATGACTTTGGATATGCCGTCAACGACCCCCACACTGGAGACAGCAAGAGCCAACACGAATCTCGCCGTGGAGATGTTGTCCAAGGAGCTTACTCTTTAATTGACTCCGATGGAACCAGACGTACCGTCGAATATGCCGCCGACCCTGTCAATGGTTTTAACGCTGTTGTTCACAAAGAACCTTTGGCTGCCCCTGTTGCCGTTGCTCCCGTTGCACGAGTCGCTGCTCCCGTCGCTGTAGCCGCTCCCGTCACCCGTGTTGCTGCCCCAATTGCTAGAGTTGCCGCTCCCGTTGCTGTCGCCGCTCCCGTTGCCAGATTTGCCGCTCCGGCTATCGCCCATTATGCAGCTCCCGCTGTGGGATACAGTGGTTTTGGCTATGCTAGAGGCTTGGGATACGCTAGAGGTTTAGGATACGCTGGAGGTTTAGGATACGCCAGAACATTGGGATATGCCGGAGGGTTGGGATATTCTACTGGATTGGGCTACTCTAAAACTCTTCTCTAAATATTGAAAAGACTGTTATTGTTGATTATTTGAGTTTTGTACAAATAATTAAATGAGAAATAAAGTATGTACATAGTAAGAAATGTCAATGTATTATTTTTGATAAAAACAAATTTCTAAAAAAATACCTAACAAAAACAACAAGTACAAATATTAGCTACAGTGAGCAGCAAAATTATGGAATAATCTTATTAAACCTGAAAATATATTGTTTGGGCAAAAATGCTCGAACAGGTCAATTTTCTTTTAAAAAATACACAATTCTTAATTTGATTTAAAATTTTACACCTCTTAGTTTTTGAGTAATGACGTCATCGACATTTTTTTTACAGAAACTTCTAATTTTTTTAGCCAATTCGATAGATCTTTTGATTGTCAACACCAAAATATCAAGTATTAGGTAAAAAAAATATTCAAATAATTAAATAATATTAACAAAAAACAAAAAAAAAACAGTGTTAAATCAAATTGAGAATTGTGTATTTTTAAAAAGAAAATTGACCTGTTGAAGGATTTTTGTCATAAAAAAAATATTTTTAATTTTATAAATAAGATTATTTCATAATTTTTCCGCTCTCTGCAAATAAAAATTTACATCTGTAAGTACAAACATATCTTTTTCCAATAATTTTTTTTATATTTAACTACATATTAAAATTACTCTGTATACAAAAAAATCTGACAATAATGTGTACTGAAATACTTAGATTCTTGCTACATTTTCAATTTCACTAATGTGTTTACAAGTTTTGACTTTATTAATTTTTTGTAAAAAAATATTTCCTAATTATTTCACTAATCACAGCATACTTAGATGTGTTAATCTCGTTATTACAATATATTTCCATGAAATATTTATAAAATTACAAAAAACTCTGTCAAGGTTGAAAGTATACTGAACGTCCTAAAATCATTTTACATCTCCGTGTTCTCAGACAAATTACGTCTCAAAAATCAAAAAACAAATCCTTGACTTAATATTTATGTTTCTATCACGCAGGGTCAAGGCGCTCTAAACAATTTCCGGGCTCTACCCACTCATCAGACATTATCAATCAATTCTCACTTTCAATAACAAGCATCTATTTCAAAACAATTGAAAAAATCTTTATTTCACATTCTGATTCTACAAAACAATAAAATTAGTAGTAATTATTCACCAATCAACAAATCGCATTTAATAGTATGCGGCATGATGCAAAGACGGGGATACGTATCCGTGAATTGGAGTAGCGATCCTAGCCACGGGAGCTATAGGAGCAACAGCTAGAGGTTCTTTGTGGACTACAGCATTGAAACCGTTATGAGGATCAGCGGCATAGTTCACGGTACGTTTGGTACCGTCAGGATCGACCAAAGAGTAACTTCCTTGGACGATATCTCCACGTCGGATCTCGTGTTGGCTTTTGCTGTCTCCAGTCAAAGGATCGTTTACGGCGTATCCAAAGTCGTAATGGGCTGGAGCTGAAGGCTCAGCGATGATGGTTCTAGCTACAGGAGCGGCGTAGGCCACAGGAGGAGCTACGTGCGCCACTGGTGCCGAATAGCCGAAAGGCACTCCTGCTTTGACTACGGTCAAAAAAGCAGACAAAACGACAAACTAAAAATGTTGTATTAAAAATCAAAAAAATTGTAAAGAAATACTTACTTTAAACGCCATGTTGCTTTGTTTATTTTGGGAAGATGTGTGTGTGTGTGTGATTTCGAAGACGTTTTCCTTTTTATACTTGGTTTTTGAAGGAGTGATCCCCACCAATTCGCCAAAATTTTTAGTTAAATTAATACGGAACAAATACAAAATTTTAGGAGCGTGTATATCTCATAATCATAAATCACAAAACAGTTAATTGGTTATTTCTATTATAATTTATCCCAAAATTTATAAATGTATATTAGCTTTACTTTTTTGACAAAAACTAAAAAAAATAATTTATTATTGCAGTTACTTTTTTTTAATTGATTAATAGTAACGACATTGAACTACCTTATGTGAGGTATTTACGAAAAAATGTGAATGTTATTGATACCAAATTCAAAAAATATTAGCCCACAACTGCAAATATCATCATAACTCATTGTTGTTGCTTAATATTTAAAAGAGCACTTTTCCATTTGTAGTAATTTATTATTTACAAATTTCATGGTAACTTTTAATAGTAGGATGATAATACTCGTAATAATCAAACAACTAAAGTTGAACTCTAAAAATGTGAGTATTTGCAGGGCTGGAACTGGCCTCCCTTTCTCTGAATGACGGTCTTTGGAGGATGCTACCAGATTACCTTAAATAAATATAAAAGATGATTTGCGACATTTTAGGTTTGTAACCTTTAGAATTGACCTTGAAACAGAATATAAATAAAACGCGAAAAAACATAAAATCTACTAAAATTAAATTTCTTTAAGCTGCCTTTTAGTTTGCGGTCATGTTTTTTTTTTCTTCAACCGCATTTAAAAGATTTATACTCAAATTTGGTACCGAAAAAATCTTCTTGTAAAGATGTAGCGAGCAATTCTAAATGCTACAGGAACTCTAAATTTATTTAGCGCACTTAGCAAATCCTCCCACTAAAAAAGAATGTAAGAACAAAATGTGTTCAATATAAGAGTTATATCACGCCATGAAACGAGTTTGTCGTCTTGTCCTGGTTATCAAGTCTACAGGTCTACATATAATCGTAATTAGTTATAATATTGTTGTTATTTAACTTTTGAAGTCAAGATTTCTCACAGACGGCACTCCTCACTTTACTATAAATAAGCACAGCTTAAGTCAAGCATTCTTATACGATCATGGCTCTTGAAGTAAGTAACGACTTAAGTTTTTCTTCTTGTAAACATAAATATTTTTTAGAGTACATTGTTAGTTATTTCATTAATCCATCTTAGTGTTGCTAAAACAGAAAACTTGCCTTATTCGCATTTACTTCGCATTCCATCTGCCAGTAGAAACGCAGTAATTCAAGAACCAACACCAAGCAGGCCTCATTATAACTATAATTATCAAGTGCAAGATCCCTATTCTGGAGACTGGAAAAGCCACGTTGAAGTACGTCACGGTAATGTTGTTCAAGGAAGCTACTCTTTGATCGAACCTGATGGAACTAGACGCATAGTCGAGTACTACGCTGATCCAATCAGTGGCTTCAAAGCTGAAGTCCGGAAGGAAGTTCTAAATAATATACAGTCACTTAACAGTAATAATTATTACTAAACCAGTTGTTACATATTTATTATTTTAATAAAGTTTGTTTTGTAATTTGTAATTAATTGGGTATTATACTATCAGTTTTTTGGTTCGATCGTAAATTAGTAATGTTTATGGACTTGCCCAAGCAAGATTAAACTGTAAGGAAGAGCATTTTAACACAGCTTTCGACATTGACATTATAATAAATTTATGGATCATTGAGACTGTTTCGAATTAATTTCTCAAATTTCAATTTGCCACATACTTGTGAAGATTGGTGTCACTTTTTTTATAACCGGTTCGAAATTGAGTAACAAAATGATTGAAATTGCGGTGGCGATGACGCCTTTTGAAGATTGTTCAAACAAAATAGTATATTGCGCTATAAGGTGGGTATTTATAACAGAAACGAGTTGAAAGTTTAAAAAATTGAGACGAAGTCAAGATTTTTCAATGTCCGAGATTGTGTTAGGCATTTAACAACTGTATAGTGCATAACGTGTTTTTCGCGTAATGAAACAAAAAAAATTTTTAGCGGTTTTCTCCAGTATATACCTACCAAAAATAAACAATTAATTGCTCAAACCGAATAAACAAGGTAAAAGTCTCTTTTTTTTTAAATTAAATTAAAAGTATTGTTGGAAGAAATTGTAAACATTCTACTTGTTTTAAGTTTTCTTTGTTATTTATAATAGTAATTTATTAACGATACTTAGCCTTTACAAAAATAATAAAAACAAAAAAGTAATGCATAACAATAAAAAAATTAATTGTAGTTTTAAATACTTGGGACAAGATCTTTTTTAAATCTATTGTAAGGTACTCCAAAAAAGTCTATCTTGTTGCAAACACTATTACATATTGATAGGATTGAATTCAATGGTGAGAATAATGCATAATTAGTGCTGCAGTAAGAAATATCAAATAAATAAGCAGCATTTCGGAGTTGATATTGAGGCACATTAAAATTAATTTTTTCAAGAATGTCTGGCGCATCACTCAGATAATTTAATAACTTATTAGTAAGAATTTCTAAAGGTTATCGGTATGTATTTGTAAAATAAAAACAATGAAATTAAAAAAAAATATTTTATTACAAACTGAGCAATAAATGGATTAGTACCTCTAAAAATAGGGACAGTTTTTTAATTGACTACAAAATCACAATAAAAGATTTTTATAAAATTAATGAAGAAGAGCTGGAGCAGCATAGCCATGCACAGCTGGAGCTGCATAAGTAGCTACAGCAGGAGCAGCATAGCTTTGAACTGCAGGAGCAGCGTAAGCAGCTAGAGCAGGAGCCCCGTAGCTATGAACTGCAGGGGCAGAGTAAGCAGCTACTGCAGGAGCGGCATAGCTATGAAATGCAGGAGCTGCATATGCAGCTACCGCTGGCGCAGAGTAGCTATGAACCGTTGGAGCGGCGTAGGTGGCAATCCCAGCAGGAGCGGCATAAGCTGCTACAGCAGGAGCCGCAAGCTTAGCTACAGGAGCGGCATAAGCTACTGGAGCCACACCAGGAGCCACAGCTTTAACGGCCAAAGGCTCCTTGTGCACTACAGCGTTAAAACCATTATGTGGATCAGCGGTGTATTGGACAACACGTCTGGTTCCATCAGAGTCAACTAAAGAGTAGGCTCCTTGGACGACGTCTCCACGGCGCGATTCCTGATGATTTTTAATATCGCCAGTATGAGGGTCGTTAACGCCGTAACCAAAATCGTAGTGAGCTGGGGCATATGGAGCGGCTACGACGGTTTTCGCAAGGGGGGCGGCGTAAGCGACGGGAGCAACAGCTGGAGCGGCGGCGTAAGAAATAGCAGGAGCGGCGGCATAAGAAACAGCAGGAGCAACAGCGTACGAGAGAGCTGGAGCACCAGCACGGGAAAATGCCAGAAGTGTTGAGAAAAGAATAACCTAAAATTGAAAACACTGTTAACACTTGATCACTTGTAAATACATTTTGAGGGCGCTTACTTTAAATACCATCTTGTTGTTGTGGTTGTGGTTGTTGTCTTAAAAGTGTGCTTTCATCAAACAATATATCAACTTTTATACTAAAGATTGGTGGTAGGTGTGGTTTATTGCCAAAGTGTATCACCCTAACCAGAAAGTGTAAAACAAGTTGAACCAGAGCATTCTTTTCAAAACGGTACACATCAAGTTTTAAAAGTGTATCAATTAAAAAGGATTTACGTAAGTGATCGGTCACCGAAAGGTTAAGTTATGTGTATCTGCAATTTTGTAGCGAATTCGGATCATAATAAATTGATTCTTATAACTTTAATTTGTGTACATTTAAAATTATTGAAACAAATGGAAAAATGTACTAAAATTTTAATTAAATATTAACTCGTGTTTTGATTTTAGTGTTTTTTAGTTCAATGAACCAAGTGTAATTATCACAGCTGTAAATAATGTGTTAATATAAATATTCAAAATTATGCGTAAAAAATTAATTTTGTGTTGTTTTTAAGTAACTAAGAATTAAAGGCCATTAGAAAAAAAACAAACATTTTTTGATATTTACATTTATTAATTTAAAATGGTAGAAAAATACTCATATTATTACATTTATACATTTATTAATATCAAACTGATTCATAAAATTAAATACCTATACAGTGCTTAAAAAATTAAACCAACAACACGTTTTATTATTTGTATAAATAATATACAGTTAACATTTATCACAAAAACAAACGGTTTCAATAAAATTACGTTAGATAAGCAGCCATCCAGCATATGGACAACACAAGTAATTTTTTATCTGAAACATATTTGCATTCTGTATTTCTGTACATTCAATCAAATATTTAGTTTAAGATTCCACTTCGTTTGATGCAGGTTGCTGTAATAGTTTTAAAGCATGATCGATATTATTGTATGAAGCTTTAACTTTTCTAACACGTTTTGACAAAATAAAGCGTGTAATGGGACTTAATAGAGTTTCGTTTGGAAGACGGTCACATTTTGTAAAATAGCTGATTACTAATCCTGCTACCATTGTAACAACCGTTCCAATAAAAGTGTAACAAAACGGTGTAACTTTGAAAATTGTATATGAATTAGATGTAACAGGAAGAGAGTTAGGAATGAGAGTTTGATTTAAAAAATTGCATCCGTTGGTGGAAAGAGACTTTGAAATTAGTTTCAATGTGCCTTGGCTTTGCAAATACTTGGCAGGAACTGCCAACAAGAAAATAAAAAGAAAACCAACAATGGCGCCGTAGAAAGCCCCCTGCAATATAAAAAATTTGCGAGCCAAAATACTTTAAAATATTAGTTACCAATACATTAGCGTTAACCCTCGGAAAGAGAAAACCAAGTGTGAAGATTCCAAAAACTGGTCCACTATAGATTGCATTAAAAGTCAGTTGTAAAAGTACGATTCCTTCCAAATTGACTATAAAAAAATTTATGCACGTACATCAAATACCTATAACTACAACAAGTAACTTTAACATGTTGCACTTTGTTCGTTCTGAAACGTTAGGTAACACATTTTTGAGAACATCCTGATATATCACTCCAGCTAGACAATTTAAATTTGCTGAAAGGGTACTAAAAACTGATTAGTTATTTTGAAAAATCAAATAATATAATGATAAAAAACACTTGTAATTCCACACACAAAAGTTCCTGTTAGACCTTTAATATTTCCTGCAATGTCCATGACAAAATATGGTACCAATTGATCATTCTTTTCTACTTGTGTGGTTGTAAAAGGATCACAATTACTGTATCGAGTATATATTACAAAACCAAGTATAACGCAAATTACTTTAACTATAATACGAAAAAGAATTCATAGTAAATCACCGATCTGCCAATAGATAACGTTCTTCACCATACTGTAATAAATTTAATACTTACAATTTTGCCTCGGTCAAGTTTGAAATTGTCAAAAATTTTTGAACTGTGGTTTGGTTAACGGTATTAATAGCTACCCAATTAAATGTCAATCCAATTACAGATGTCCAAAAATTGTTTCGTTCTGTAAGATCAAGATTAAAACTTTTAGGGAGTTAGACTATCCCAATTTGTTTTTAGTTACTTAAAAATATTAAGTCTGCCACTTTTTTGTGTTTTCTTCCAAACCATGAAAATTCCTTGTAAACTTATGCCCAACACAAACACAACTATAAATATACCAAAAAATATGAGAAACTGGAAAATATCGGTGAAAATGACAGCTTTTAATCCACCAATACTAGTATAAAAAATACAAACACAGCAAATTATAATTACTTGCAAATTGGTTGAAGAACCAGTTGCTGAAAGTTTTTTACTTATTATTCTGGGTTATTTTTGTATACCTACCGGCAGAAAGAGATAGAGCTGCAGCATAAACCACTATTGGAATATAAAATAATTCGCAACATATGTACAAAACGGAGACTATTGTTTCTTTTTTCTTATCAAATCGCATTTCCAGATATTTATAGATGCTAGTAACTTGCAGTTCAAAAAATACAGGTAAGTAAATAAAAATAGTAATCGCTGCTACAATTCCCAGAGAAAAAACACCTTGTAAATAACTTCCACCAAAGCGATATGCATCAGCAGCCACTCCCAGAAGATTGATACCGGAAATAAGACTATTTCTTTTCCAAATAGTTTAAAAAATATAATTTTACCTCGCAGTTAGAGAAATGGCTACAGGCAGGCTTTTCATGTCCCTTATTACCGATCAGATATTCGATAGTTGTCCAATTTTTCTTTCGAAAAAAACCGTGATATATTCCAATTGCAATGCTTATAGATAACATTATACAAAAAAACAAGTAATCATACCAATGAAAAGTATGTTTAGAAATGTTAGTTAATGTTTCCGATGAATTTCCAGTCATTGCTATACGGTGTTCACTTTACTTTTGTAGGTATTTAGACCTAGAAAATATATACTCAATAGTAGATATAGGTATTATGTAAAAAATTGATAAAATTATTAGAGGACATAAAAGCCAACAGTGTTCTAATTTTCAACAGTGTGTAATATTCGTAAATGAAAGATAAATAAAAAAAAACATTTTTAATTATTTCAAGTCAGTTATTGCTCAACCTTAACGTCAATAAAACTGTATTTCTATAACAACATAAATGCTAATAACTCTAGAACAATTTATTTTAAAGATCTTAATTAAAAAGTTACCTTTTTTGTAATTTCTTGAATAGACTTTCAATATTTTGCATTAAAAATGAACGTTATTGACGTTAATAACTCAAAAAAATAAGATTCAAAACCAGTATCATGCCATTAGAAATATATACCAGCCATAGTTAACAATTATGATACAAAAAACAAGTAATCATACAGAAACAAAAAATTTCGAAAAAAATCCTGGTCACTACGATACTGTGTTCACTTTTGCGTACCTATACATCAAAGTGATTCACACTTCATAACCCCTAAAAGTTCTTTAAAAACAATTTGAAATTTTTAATAGTAAAAGTAGGTATAAAGCAATACTCATATGATTGTATTCAAGCCACTGAAAACTGTTTGATTGTCACATGAATCATATGAACGAAAACAGACGCATCAAGCCGATCCAAACATTTTCACATTCATAATATAAAAAAAATAAAAGATAGAAAAAGCGGTGCAAAAGCCAATACAACAAAAAACACATTTACCTTTTTTGTCGAGGGCTCATGATAACGTTATTGCATCAGTTATAAACCAATTTTAAGAAATTTTTAAAACAAAAATCTGGACAGGCAAAGACATCGCCCATTAAAATGTCTACCATACTATACTACTACAATACTAATCGTTTACGAGATAAAAATGAAACGTCAACTGACTTTAAAGTAAAAATATTTATTGGGGCCCTTTTGGACCTATCTACAAAAATAAATACATATTCACAAGCAACGATCAACAAATCTGAACAGACATTCAATCGCACACTCACGATACCACTTAATGGTAGTAAGCTGGAGCGTGAGCGGCGTAAGAAATGGCGGGGGCGGCAGCGTATTTAGCTACAGCTGGAGCGGCATAAGCTACAGCTGGGGCGGCGTATTTGGCTACAGCTGGAGCGGCGTAAGCGTGAGCCACAGGGGCAGCGTAGGTGTGAGCCACAGGGGCAGCGTAGGTGTGAGCCACAGGGGCGGCGTAAGTGTGGGCCACAGGGGCGGCATAGGCTACAGGAGCGGCGACTTTAGCTACAGCGGGAGCAGCATAAGCGACGGGGGCAGCGACTTTAGCGACGGGGGCTACAGCCTTAACAGCGAGACCTTCTCTGTGGACAACAGCGTTGAAACCGTTGTGAGGATCAGCGGTGTATTCGACGGTACGTTTGGTACCATCAGGGTCGACCAAGGAGTAAGAGCCTTGGACAACATCTCCACGACGGGATTCTTGTTGGCTCTTGCTGTCACCAGTGTGGGGGTCGCTGACGGCGTATCCGAAGTCGTAGTGGGCTGGGGCATAGGGTTCAGCTACGACAGCTTTAGCTACGGGAGCGGCGTAAGCCACAGGGGCTACAGCTTTGGCAATGGGAGCGGCGTAGGAGATGGCAGGGGCGGCTACTTTGGCATAAGCGGGAGCGGCGTAGGAAATGGCGGGAGCGGCATGGACAGCAGGGGCAGCGTAGCCGTAAGCGGGAGCAGCAGCAGCGTAGCCGTAGGCTGGGGCGGCAGCGTAACCCAAGGGAGCGCCAGCACGGGCTACAGCGACGAAAGCGGCGAAGACGAACAACTGGAACAAAGGGTTGTTAGTTAAAACACTGCACTTAAGTCACTTGAGCACTGAGTACTCACTTTGAATGCCATGTTTGATCGTTCTAGGTTTCTGGCTAAGCTTGGGTGGTGCACAAGTTTATATAGTTGGAGTGGAGGTGTGGCCCCCACGGCCCGGGCCGAGTTTGGGACCTTTCACTGGACCGGAGGCTCGATCCGGTCGGCATCCTGATAGGAGATTTTGACGGTTTATCACAAATATTGAGCTTAGTATAGCACTGATCCAATTACATAACAGACAATTATTAAGCAATTATTCACCAATGTCAGTATGTTAGGCCAAAATTTTTATTACCACTGAAATGCTGGCCTTCAAAAGTGAAAAATCAGACGGTTTTTTGTCTTATTATTCACGTTTAAGAACCGTTCTCTCTATTCAAGCTTTATTGTATACTCAAATAAAGCTTTCAGGCAATAATTTTCAGTACCTAAATACAAACTTGTTTTTTTTTAATAGTTTCAGTTTAGTAGTGTCTAGTGGCATCTTTCAGCATTTCAGAATTAGACTAAATTGTTACATCAGTTCTATCTGACCGATCCCACATCCTGTCCCGAAATATTCCTCCAATTACGAAAAAATCGACTAGCCCATAAATCAATATTTATAAACAATCTATAGATTTATTATTAAGATAAGTGTATCTCGGCCATGGCCGATAATCTACTAACAAAGCTCCCTAATGTCATCAGATGTGTGGTTAACGAAAGAGAAATTATCACGAGCAGGTGTGTCCGTCTGTTGTGCACGTGATGACGCAACCACGTGCCGCAATCCCGCTAATGTATGACCTACGACCTCTTGTCTCATTTCCAAATCGATATTCCTTGAGCCCGGAAAAAAGCCGGAACGATTCCGAACCCGAATTGGATTTGCCGACGAAGGTCGACCGACGTGTCCTGTTAATTATTCTTTAAAAATGACTTCGCCAATCACGATCTTGTGCAATAGCGATTGTTGTATTACGTCGCCACGTATGATCGGTATATAGAAAAATGTATATAATCTTTTGAAAGAAGTTGCGCAAAAATGGATCATTTAATGGCTGCAACACGGTGAGACGCTGTTGCAATCGCTTGACTTGTGGGGACTAACATTTTTCCGATTAATGAACGGAGATTTTTTAAAATAAATGCTAACGATCTAATCACACTTTGAAACAAGTGACCTTATTGATTTCGGTTGTTTTTCTCATTTATAACTGTGATTTTCCTCCGAAATAAGACCACGTGGTGTTTTCTGACATCTATATAAATACAAAAGTAAGGGACAACTTTAACATTATAATTATATAATATTATATTATATTATTAATATTATTAATATTATATTATATTATTATTATATATACTTTAACATATAATTTTAATTATATTATATATTTAGATACTATTGTTCCCAAAAATTACAGTACTCGTAAATTTCTATAATAATAAAAAGCTCTGACTGCATAGATGAATAAATAAACTATGAAATAAGTTTGCCAAAGAAAGTGATAACGAATGTTTCATTAACGCACTGAACCATCTCTTACAACAAGGACCAAATCACCACTCCTTTCTAAGTGGGATGTTACGTGACACAAGATAGATTGCACGAACCCGAAGAAAGTTAAGAGCAAATTTAAAGCAAAAAAACTTTGATTGCACAAAAGTGTGCAAAACTTACTAAAAATTAATCAAATTCTTGCAAACGAATTTCTCATTTTATTACTTTTGATAATAGCGTGTTTCTTCGAAGGATTTAATTATAATTTGTTGGCACGCCGTTATTAAACGTTAAATATTATATCTTACAAATCCGTCCTTGGTTAAGGTCGAACATTTCTCGAAATTACAAATGTATTTTTATAATCGCAGTACAATTTCAAACAATTTACTCTTGTGCAATGCGGAAAAAATTCGGTCATTTTTAAGCCAATCCGTACTTATTAAACCCTCGTAAATCATCGAAGCTGTCCGTTTCTATCTAGAGTCAAGGATTTATAAATTCTTAATCGTGTAATTTACACTTTTGTAAAAAAAATCGTGGTTTGACTCTAATTGAAATATTTTTCCGTCAAAAGCCGTAGCACATGAACTCTTGAACTGTTATTAAACTTAAAAGGTTTCCAGCGCGACACTCCCGAGATTGTCTGCGATGAAAATTAAGCGCACGTATAAGACTTTTACAAGAGACATTTGAAATATTCGTGATTTATAGTACGGTTTACATTTGAAACGGTTATTAAAATAGGTCACAAATGTCTACCATATATCCGATTTTGTACCATACAGGTGTTCAGAAAAGCCCATTACAACATAATAATAGGTGATTAAAGCGGTGCCTTTCCAAATTAAACCCAGAATAAGGTGTGGCGCAATTGCGATCTTTGGTGTTTTTAAAGCAGGGGTTAATTTTATCATTACATTGAACCTAATATGTCAAAGAGTTAATTATTAAAAATTGGTAACAATATATTTTAAAGTAACATTTTTAGAAGATTAGAAAATCTTCTTGACTACTTTATTGATTGAACTGTCTATTCAGATTCAGATTAAGATTCAGATTCAAATTTAGATTACAGTTTGTCTTCTAAAATTAGAGAATGTGTTTTCCAGTTTCTTAGATGTTTTCAGTTCAAAGTTCCAAAAACTCTGAAGCTTTATCAATTGTAGGTATTCATTCAAAGTTAGAAAGAATTTTGCCGATTACTCACAAACTATCGGTACCATATAATAAAAATATGATGATTTTTACATTGGTTCTCCAGACACATGGATCATCGAAAAATTATCAACTCCTCATTATACAGGGTACGCCAGAACTCGCGCCCCAGAGAAAAATGCCATTTAAGGTAGGATACCAGGAACATGGAAAAAATGTTACAAAAATTGTATTTATAACAATTTTGAAGTTATGAGGGTTTAAAGTTTGCACTTCGACTATTTATTTCTGTTGGAACAATAATTTTCCAAGTTTTTTTGTTATAGGCTATTAAAAGAGGAAACTTAGACAATTTGCGGCAATGTGCACAGACTATACATACACTTTTATTTAACAAAAGTAAAACATTCCAAAAAAGAACAAAACCAGACGAAGAAACCAACCTCACCTGAGGCCATTCTACGGTAGCTCAATCCGGCCTTCACATATCCCATTCCGACCAAAAGGATTAAGCAATTTGTTAATAACAAGCATTGTGCGACCGCCATGACCATTACCAGAACGCCGGTCATGTTTAACACTTTTTCCATCGTCGAGTGTGGGCGTAACAAACAATCGCGCTCACAATCGACCGATTACGCAAGAAAATCCAATAATGTCTCCCGATTAGAAATTATGTTAATCCAATAGCAATTGTTCGGGAGCAGTTTTTCCCTTAATGCAAGGCTATACTTTCGATTTTTACGAAACTCCAGACCTAAGGCAACCATTTGTCTGCACTGATTCTGTGTGCATGTGTTACATAAAATCGCATAGCTTCGAGCTTGCGACGCAGACCGCACACCAATTAGCAAACGATTATAATAAATATTAATGGTGGTCCGTCAGACCAGAACTGGATTAGAAATTATGTAAACTAGCGTGTGCCTAAGATGGTACGGACTTCGTGTGCGATTTTAGACTTGCTGAACTGCTTTCTCTGCAAACTTGGTCACAATAGAATGCAGCTTATTATGGAACCGAATCAGATCAGGTAGTGCACGGAATAGACTCAGGAAAGATCGATGTGTTGTTTATAGACATAAATTCGTTTTTCCACACCATTTTTAATTATTTTAAAATTATTTAAAAACAAAATTTCAATTTAAACATCAATTAACTGAAGTACAGCTATCTCTCTATAGTTAAAAATATTCTTTTTTTTGTAAATTTATTTTTATTTCTACAACATTGATTCACCATGGTTAATTAATGGCTACACCTAAATAATTTTTATACTTAAATCAAGCTTCATATTTTTTTACCAATTTTTTTCTATAGGTATGTAGGCTATTTTTATCCTGTTTGAAATTTACCTTAGTTTGTGGATACTACCTATATTTTTAATAATGCTCGAAATCTGTTTTTCTCTAATATGTCAAACAATTAGCTTTATTACAATGTATCGTCTTTTTTGAAAATTACAAGTTACAATAAGGTAGAAGTACAAGTAATTGTACCTACAAGTTGTAATTACAATTACCTAGGTACTTGTACAAGGTGTAATGACTGCAATTATTACAGTACAAACACGTTGTAAAAGCTTTCTTTTATATAAAACCTATAGTTTGAAAGCTTATTCAGCACTTTCCTTAAAAATTCTCTCAACTATCCTCAATTTTAGATAATAAAGTCGAAAATTTAAATTTAATTTAGTAAAAATAAAAACTTGAATAAGAGATAAATAAACTGTCTTTTTTATGCTTGTTATTACATAAAATTATTATCTAATTACGTTATTTGTTTCTTTTTGTTTCTATGAGATGATTAGATTTGCTATACATACTAATTTTTACTTTCCTTATCCTATAAAGAAAGTATTGTAATCGGCTGAAATTTGACCTACCCAGATTTTTACATTTCTAGACGAATTATAGCTTCAAGACACCAAAAAAGTTGGTTTGGGCTATTGAGTGTGTGTCTGTCTGTAAACAGCATATCTCGAGAACGATAAAAGCTAGAAACTTGAAATTTGGTATGTAAGTTACTTGTAGGAAGGGGACGCAGCACGAAACAATTGGTAAAAATCGATCGCACTGTTTGGCCGCAAAGACCAAAAATCGGCCTCAAAATTATACGGTTGAATTCATGGGGATAAAAATTATTTAGAATCATGAAATATACCTTATTAAACAGTACCTAAAATGTGATAAAATAAAAATAATAATGGGTGCCAAACTAAAAAAGAATGCACCCTAGACTCGAACCCGCGACAACTATCATCTATTTCGCGTATATAAGGCTGGTGGCACTGACGCAAACGTTAGGTTAGCTACTCGGATTTCCAACACTAATTTATTGTCGTAAGGATGATTTCCAGATAAGTGGGATAAGGAAAGTCGTGTGATGTTCACACCAGATTTTTTACTAATAAGTGCAATAAAGCAACACTCTACCTATATGCAACCATACGAGGTCATAAATAAAAGCAATCAGCCCATAAAATACGTTAGTGAATAGTGACCTTTAATTCTGAAAAACAAATATTTTATGTT